TTCTCGTAACTGATCTTCGCTTCAGTCATCAGACCATCAAGAAGGACGATTTCTACGCCTTGCTCTCGGTAGCAGATCTCGCCCTCATCACTCCGCTTCGAGATGGTATGAATACCACCTCAATGGAATACGTTATCTGCCAGCAAAAGACAAACAAGGCCCCTCTCATTCTATCAGAATTTATGGGTATCTCGCATACAATGGCCGAAGCTTTGTGAGTTTTGATCACTCTTTGTGGCGCTTTCTATATTTTGCCGGTCCGGACCCGATCGCACGTGCTGACACCTGCTTTATCGATTAGACAAATCAATCCCTGGGATCTCGGTGTAAGTTTGGATTTTTTACCTTGATTTGGCCCATATTGCCATATTTGGTCGTATACCGCGCAAACAGGCGCGAAGGGCGGAGACAGCAAGCCACAATCTATCCAATCACGCATCACCATAAATGCCTTCCTTTCACGTCATCACCCTCTATCTTCGTTTTTTATCATGAAAAATTTTACAGGGCTCTGATCTTTCCTGATAGGGCGTGGCCGCGATGATCAACCGAGGTTTGCTTATGCCTGAAGATGAGCGAGAGGCAAGACAAGCCGCCCTCTACAAGGTTGTCACCACCCACACTTCACATACCTGGGCCGCTGTCCTCGTTAGGATGTTACTCTCTCAGATCGCCACAGAGCACTCCGCCCATCAAACTCCACTCCTCGAACAGACCGCTTTGGTTACTTCGTACAAGAATGCCAAGCGGCGGCTTTTCCTCTTCGATTATGATGTTCGTTATTTATCCTATCTACATCTTTCTAAATCGAGACTGATTTTTGGCGCCGTTTGCTTGGTCCGTTTGATGTACAGGGAACCCTCACTCCCATCGTCAAGGTTCCCAGTATGGCTGTACCTTCCGAATCCACCTTGCAAGCATTAGAGAAGCTCTCGGAAGATCCCAGGAATCTCGTTTATATCATCTCTGGTCGTGATAGCGGCTTCTTGGAGCACCATCTTGGTCACTTGAAGAAAGTCGGCTTCTCTGCTGAGCATGGATGCTTCATCAGGGAACCTGGCACGACTACATGGAAGAATTTGACGGAGAGCCTTGATATGAGCTGGATGGCGGAGGTAGAGGAGTTATTTGAGTACTACACCGAGGTAAGCCGTCATTAGTTGTGCTGGGATCGATCTTTTGCTGACCTATTCCATTCTACATAGCGTACTACTGGTAGCTTTATCGAGAT